ATGCCTTTGAACATTTCCTACAAATATTAGCTGCAATGAATGGATGAAATTTTCAAATCCTTTATTTGTTTTGGTAGATTAACCGTATCTATATGATTGTTTTTCATTAGTAGTAATAATTTCTATTTTGTAGAAATCTCTATATTTAGCTGTTATGCTGTTGAAATTTTAGGTTGAATTAGGAGTGTTTTAATTAGATTATTCATACATATAAACTCATCAGTTCTAGAACTTTCAATTTCTATTGAAGTTCTCTAATTAGGACAATCATCAAATCATTGTTTGGTATTAAGTTTTATCCATTAGTATAGTCCCATTCCGATCACTTTTTTTTTGTTTTCTCTTTTTGTCTTTAGAAACTTTAATCTTTTTGTATTATTCATACCTTTTAGTTAATCAAATTAGAATAGAAGCACCCAGTAATCAGACTTCACCTTCCAGTTATAGTGTGCGTAAGAAAGTAGAAATATTGCTTGGAATCAATTCACTGAAGTTAGAGAAGCTGATGGGAAGAAGTAATTCAAATGTTTGCATTTTGGCATTGCATACAAGGGAGGAGAAATAAATAAAAAGAAACATCATTTAGCAGAAGCTAAGGGAAACATAACTTCTTGCAAAAAGGTTTTACACAACATTCGATATCAAATGCAAGAGAATTTGAAGGAAATTTCAAGAAAAAAACAAGCACAGGCAGAGTTGAATAGTACATTGTTTCCTATAGATGATGTTGCTGAGGAAGAAAGAAATTCTTCTTTTCCTAAAATACAATCTTCCGAAACATATATATCAAAACTTGTAAAGGAAAAAGAAAAATTGATGATGTGGACACTTTCTTTACTACTAGAATTAAAATAGGTTCTCAACCATCAATTAAGAGTGTTTTAGCCATCTAAGGAAGCAATTCACCGCGCATAAATGGCTTTAACAAGATGGTTTTTAGATTGTTGCATTCCATTTAATGATTTAACTTTAATCTATGCACAAAAAGCTGTAGATGTCATTGCTGCTATAGATCCTAGTTACAAGCTCCCCACCTATCACAACATGAGAGTAAACCTACTTAGGGATTGTAAAGAGGAGTGCATGCTACTCATTGATAACTATAGACAAATAAGAAAGGAAACAAATTATACACTTATGGCATATGGATAGACTGCTAGTATAAGCAAAACATAATTCAATTTTCTCATATATTGACTATGTGGCGTATCTTTTTTAAAATCAATTGATGTTTCAGACATGACAAAAGATGCTACAAATTTGTGTAATTTATTTACTAGGTTGTTGAGTGGGTTGGTCCAGAGAGTGTAGTTCAACTAGTTACTGATAATGTTGCTAAGTACAAGAAAGCAGGTCAGATGTTACATGAAAGATTCAACATCTATTGGTCACCTTGTGTTGCACATTATATGAACTTAATTTTGAAAGATATTGGTAGTATGCCTCTCATAGAACAAAAAAAAACATCAAAGATTATAATTTTTTTTATAATCATATATTCGTACTTGCATGACTTAGGAAAAGACCAGGTTGGAAAGAGATTGTACGTCCTAGAACAACCCGTTTTGCAACAACTTTTATAACTTTGAAAAGTGTCCATGAAGACCATCATGACCTACAAGCACTAATTACAAGCAATATCTATACAAATTCGAAGACATCCAAAACCTCTAAGGGAAAGTAAGTAGCTTCAATTATTTTAGACTTGAATTTTTGAGATAATTGTCTTATCATTTCAAAGATATCGAGTCCTTCGATTCGGTTGTTACGTATTGTTGACTTGGATGAGAAACCGTCACTTGGATATCTATATGATGGCATGTACAAGGCACGTAAGACAATTAAAACTATGTTCATAAAAGTAAAGAGATCATATAAGTCTTTCACTATTATAATAAAAAGAAAATCGGATACTCAATTAAGGCAATGCACCCATGCAGCAACATATTTTCTCAATCCTCATTTCCAGTATGATAAAGAGAATTATTGTTAAAAGTAAACAATTTTACAAGGTCTAGTTGAATTAATTGGAAATAAAAACATTTGTTCTAAGCCCACAATTACAATGAATGAAGTCAGATTATTCCGTGATGACTTAGAAAGTTTTGGAAAACCAATTGCACTGACGATAGTAAAAGAAATGCAACATGGTAATTCTCTTTTTAATGTCAACATGTATATATAATTATATTTGTATATTTATATTTATAAATATGCGTACACTAAGCTCTCTAACTTAATAATTGGTAGATGAGTGGTGGAAGATGTTTGGATCAAGTGCTTCAAATATGCATAAAGTAGCTATAAGAGTTCTAAGCCAAACATCAACGTCATCAGGATGTGAGAGAAATTAGAGTATTTTTTAACAGATTCACTCAAAGAGAAGGAATTATTTGGAGCAACAACGGCTCAACGATCTTGTATATGTTTGGTATAATCTAAATTTAAAGAATATATATAATATATTAATATTTATGTACAAGTGTCAATTTAAAAAATATGTATAATCTTAATCTAAAGTTATTTCTTCATTTTTCAGGTTTCAACTTAAAAAAAATCATTATGATCCTTTGAACTACACTTGTGTTGAGTTGGTTGATTTCTGGATATTTGAAGATAAAACAACTCCAAAACTTGACTTATAGGACTTGGAAAATGAGAAATACAAAGAGGATGTAATGTTAATTGTTGAAGACCAAAATATATCATCCAATCGGCCAAGACATAATAAGTTAAAAATGAAATATGAATATATCATTTAAATTAAAGAAAAATAATGTTTTATTTTATATTTCTTATTTATTGGTAAAGGTGACTTAGAGAATGAAGGAGATGTAGGTGACATAATCGAGTTTGATCAATCGGATGTATTTGGGTTCGAACATTTTGATGAAGCGAGACTGAAGACTAAACTTATGTGAATAGATTTGATGATGCAAATTTATGAGATCTTTAATTTTTCTCTTGTAAAATTATTGAAACTATTGGACTGAGAAAGTGAAACATAGTTAACTTCATCTCCATATCATGAATATATTTTCTTTTTGTTATTAGTTGATATAAAGTGTTCAAATCTTTTTATGATTAATTGTCTTTAAATGAAATATATTATTATATTTTTCTTATTTACTTTATATTTGATTATTTAGTTTACAATTATAATAATTATCGCATATTTATTTTATTTTCAGAGTTTCACCAGTTGCATGTATAAACCATAAGATCTCAAGAAAAATTTTGATTTCATCTCTCAAGTTATGACTACAAAGAGGTCATTTGCTTAAAATAATAATGTATTTAATTTTAAATTTACTAAATTTATTTGTTATGTTTTTTTATACTTCATATTATGATTATGTTCAATTTTTTATATATTTACAAATAGTTGTCATTATTATAATATTTAAATATAATAAGTATTTATTATTTCATTCGGTATGACCCCAATCAAACAATCGAATCGCTAACCTCTCCTTCTGGTTCATTGTCCCATCTGATTTTCAAAACCTTGGTTTGGACTTTGGACACATAAAAGGTCGTCCTTCCAATGACCCGGTCAGGAGAGTAGATGTATTGGATTTGACCTATGTTAAGAAATGTAGAGCTGTTGACCACTTGTTTTAATTTTTGTATTGCGAGAAATGTATTCAAAATATAGACATTCTTCTTTCCTTCAACTCTTTTCGTATTAAAAACCATTTGTAGCATAACAAAAAAATAATGATAATTCTATCCTAAAATTATATAGTTTGATAAGTCTTAGTGAATAACATACCAAGAAAAAATAATAATAAATACTAATTATTCGCCAATAAGTTATAGTATAATAATGGCAATTATCTTCCTTTGTGAATGCACAATAATATAAATAATAATCATTCACCAATAAGTTATAGTATTTTGGTGGGCCCAACACTAAGGCTATCTCATCCTAGTTATAGAATCATGCGGTGTTAAGTAAGCCAAGCTCAAGCAAGCACTCCAGTGTGGCAAAAGGTCTTTATGAAGTTAAAATGACAAAAAAATGGAAACCAATCAATAGCACCACCTTTAGTGGCCCGCAAGCATCCCCTTGAAAAATAAAACTCATGAAGTACCATTCTATGGTACTAGCTCTATCACTAAGCTTCCACTTTGATGAAGATGAGAGTTTAGACAGAGAGAAGGCGGGAAGAGTGAAAGTTATGCAAAGAATTGATTAACCCCATTGAACTTTCTATATCATTTCTTCCATCTTTGTTTAATAAATATACCGATTTATTACTCATCTTAATAGCCATACTCCTCACACAAATTAAGTGTTCCACTTTTGGTTGGCTTTGCAACTCTAGCATATTCCTACATTGATATTAGTGTTCCACTTTTGGTTGGCTTTGCAACTCTAGTTGAGATGAAATACGGCATCATGATGAAATCAAAATTTCATAATATTAATCTTTCCCTTCCAACTCCATTAGAAACAACTGAGCACCATCAAGTGCTTGCAAAAACTCCGTGCGTGCTTAGAAACCTCAATCAACTCATTCACTGATCTGCAAAGTGATTTCGGAATTCAACGGGCCATCAGGATGCAATACATATGACACAAGAAAATTCAGAATTAGGGTTGAAGACTAACTATAAGATTTCATCTCTATTGAAAAAATTCAAACCACTGTTCATATAAGAACTATTGTATCCTCAAGATAATGTTTTTAAAAATTTATGCAGAACACAAAGATGAAACAATACACAAAATAAAATTTGCAACAAGCAGTGCAATGATGACGCCCAAAAATATAAAGATGCATAATTCAATATAAAAGGAATCTTATGGGGATTAAAAAATTTCTCATAGTCCCAATATACTGAAGGAATTTAATAGATATGCACAGATAAGGGTCAAACTAAACATTTTTTGTAGCACAGGCTACCTAACTGATAAGAGGAAGTTATAAACAGTAAAAACTAGTCCACAGTGTAATATTTTAAAAAAATTAAAAAAAAAATTAAAAACCAACCTCAGCTATTGAAGCAGCTACAGCAGCTGCTGCCTGAGTCTTATGGGATAGTTCACGAAGGAAACGCCCAAACTTACGCACAACCACAGATAGAACAGGAACTATAGCTAATGACAATACTATAGAAAGATAAATTGTCAGTTTGATTTTAATGAACAGCACATATAAAACAATTCAGAATAGGCACTACAAAGAATGGGAAACACCGGAAATTTGAACACCGAGAAGAATCGATAATGTAAGACCGTGACAATATTTAGATTTATAGAATAGTTAATCTACAGGACAGTAACAAAAAAAAAAAAAAGTGGATGGACAAAAAGCAAGATAAAATTCATAAATCATTAAAGCTGACAAAAACGAAAAATAATGTAATCAGAGCTACATCAAAACATTAAAGTTGCTCCATTTGGAAGTGAAAAGATATGTCATTTTTTCATATAAAAATGCTGAAAGATAAAGACCACTTGTTCATTAAAGCTGGCATATGTAAATATTAAATAAAAAAATTCCTAAAGCTAACTTCGATATTTTACTATTTTATTCTAAATAGGGAGTATTTACAGGATAATATCTTAACAAGGCATAATGCATAAACAGCCACATGTCACAAGGAGGAAGATATAGAAATCAATCGCAAAAGGCAAATTATGTCAGAACATTTGAAGTATATAGAGCCTTTATAGGATATTACATGAAAATCATAATGCATATAGAAAAAACCATGGTGATATGAACTTGCATACTGGCTTTTACAGATTTTAGCTGAATGAGACAAAAAATAGGAGGCGAGCATCAACAAAAGTCACTGAGAAATAATTGAGATAGCAAGGAACCTTCGGAAAGGAATTAAATAATCAATACCATGGTGATATGAGCTGACTTGTATAAAAGAACTAGAAGAAAGTAGAACCTAAAGAAATGTGGGTGGTTCCCAATCCTAATTAAATAATCCATAATTTCTCATTCCCGAAGGGGGTGGTTCCCCCCAAGTATCCCAATCATCCCTTTTACAACCATACCCCAACCTTCCATCAAATTCCCACCTCTCAAATTCAGCACCCCTTGTATCATAACAAACTCTTCCCCTATGAGAAAGTAGAACCTAAAGAAATGTGAGTGGTTCCCAATCCTAATTAAATAATCCATAATTTCTCATTCCCCAAGGGGGTGGTTCCCCCAAGTATCCCAATCATCCCTTTTACAATCATACCCCAACCTTCCATCAAATTCCCACATTCTCTCAAATTCAGCACCCCTTGTATCATAACAAACTCTTCCCCTTTCAAATTCAACCCCGCTTTGAACATAATTACCCATTTCACTTTCCAATCTCACCCTCTCCTCTCCAAATCAGTGCATCTTCATTATTGCCCTACCTTATCACGCCTCTCAAACCCTCTATCAGGCTCCTCCATAGAAATAGGCTCTATGAGAGGTATTTTCTCTTCTCCCTTTCGAGTCTCCACCTCCTGATCTCCCATTTGCCTGACTAGCTTAGGGTTTTTCCCATCTCCATGGTTGTCGGCGCCTTCCCTCACCTTCGACGGTGATATTTTGGTTCGGCCCTCGAGCACTTTCTTCAACATCTCCTCCAAGATAAAAAATTTCGAATCGAACTTATCATGGATGGATGAAACATCTTTTTTTAAAATCTGAAACTTGACTATAGAGATCTGAAATTTCAGATTTCATTTGTCCAATCTTCACTTCGAGGCGTTCCTCCAACGCATCCATTTTCTTGGCTGCCATTGATGCCCATATTTTTGTAAAAATAAAAATATGGATTTCGACCTTCAAAAATAATAATTTTCTTCTTCGAAATCCCAAGAACAGCCGCTGAAATTCACCAAAACAGCCCATAAAAGTCCCAAAAATAGCTCTGATACCAATTTGATATGAAACACTAATAGATCTCAAGTATCTCCTATCAATCTTTAGAAAACAGCAAGAAAACGCTTCCAAACTCCAATGAATCAGGGAAAATATTAGTTTTTATTGCACAAAATCAATTAACGAAAGAAAAATAACAAAATAAAATTGATCCACTAGACCCCGCTAGAGCCCAAAGGAAACCTAAACCTAAGAGATCCCAAATTCAGCCAAATTCAAGATGCCCTAAGCCTAGGAAAACAAACTACTTAATGCATACAATTTAAAGGAAATCTCTAAACAGTCCCTACATTCAATTTCTCTTCTAAACTTTCTCAAAAATCCTTCCTAAAAAGTTATGTGGAGATTTGCGGTCCGCTCGACCTCCGCAGGAGAGGCAAAATTTCCGCCTCTATTCGCCTGGGCCGGTCTCGTATGAACCGGCTGGACTGGTCCAATGGACCAGTCTAATAGATTATCAGTCTGGAGGAACCCAAAGAAAGAAGAAAGAAATAAAGATTGAAGAATTTCAAAGCCATAATAGGTACAGGATTCATCGTAGGAGGCTATCCTTCCATTCTAGTTTGATCTCAACCTTAATGGAACTTGTTGAAACAACTAAGACTAGGAAGCTATGCAATGCTAAATAAGGAAGGTACTGTGCAATGGATTAATATGCAAACAAGGAAAGCAATAAGCCACGGATTCATAAATTGAACAACGAAAGAAGAATGTCACCGATTGGTCTCTAGATATAAATTTGGGAGGCTAAAAGGGGTGGATTGTTAGCATGCCTAAAACAACATTTTTTTAATTTAAAATTTTTGTAATTGCTTCTTAGAAATTATGTAGTTTCCAATTATTATCTTGGCACCTTTCTATCTACCCATTGGAGGAATAAACAAATAAAGTTTCCAAACAATTTCCCTTTGTTTTAGATGTATTAGAGAGAGATTAGGGGCTTATTTTCAACTTCTTTTTTTTTCTTCTATTCTCATTCTCTTCTCCTAGTCTTGAATTTTTTTTTTTCTTCTAAAGAGTCAATCTTGATGAAAATCAAACCAATCCATCCAAAAGTTAGGAATCTTTCATCATTTGAATAGAAGAAGCTATATAAAATTTTATCACCATGATAAGATTTTAGTTTAGATTTAACGTTAAGAAAATAAATGCTCGAGATAATTTTAATCAAACCTTCTCTATTTCCCTCAATAAATAGGGTAATATCCACAAATCCTCCTGCCCTAACACTCAATAAAATAGGGTGGCAAAAAAATTTAAGGAAGAAATCAACATCTCCTAGAAGTTATCATAACTTTTCTCCACTAAAATCAAGCTTTCAAAAGCTATTGGAAAGAAGTTGTCCTAACCTCCACATATTTAATTAATTGATACCCTAAAAATGATTAATTTCAAAAATCTTCTAAACTATCTTGTTGAATTTTTTCCACAAACATTTTTTTTCTAAAAGATTCCTTCAAAAATATTTGTTGTCTTATTTTCACATACATAAACAAAAAGGGGGTAAACTTGATCATAGAGCACGTAAGTGTGTTTTTATAGAGTATTCAACCAATTAAAAAAGGAATAAAAGCTATCACCCAATCGCCAAAGAATTCTTCACTTCAAAGTTATTACATTTGATGAAAAATAAAATTTCTTTAATCAAACTCAATATTCAGTGAGAGAACAGTCAAATGTAAGAACTTTTTGATGAAAATCATCTGTCTTGACATCCCCTCAATAAAAACACAAAAACAAAATCTAACCTTCGAAATCACTTAAAGTCCGGACAAAATGCATCCAAAGTCTCCAATAAACTCAAGACTTGAAGCTTCACCAAGTAACTCCCATAACCATAATTCACCCATTACTACATATTCTCTCCCATATAAACAGAGAGATCACACATTTACCATAAAACATTCCACTAAAAGAAAAGTGTTAATGATATAATTGTTAAAGATGATGATAACGAAGGAAAGTTACTACTTAGAGAAAACTTATCATAGAATTTGAAATCAGAGGACTTGGCAAGCACAAGTGTGGATATATCTGAGAAATAAATTTTCATTTCCACAAAAATATGTTATGGATCTTTTGGAAATAGCAAAAATGATTTATTGCAAATCATATTAAACTCCAACTGATTCAGGTCAGAAACTAAACGAAGATGAAGAAAGAAGATTAATATTGGACAATGGCAAAGATTAGATTAAAAACTAACCTACCTATACAATACCCCTCAAAACATCACTTTTAAGAAAGTTTCATAAATCAATTTATGCAAAAACCGAAGGAACCTAACCTTCAAGCTACTCATGAAGTTCTCAGGTATTTAAAATTAAATCTTGAAAAACGAATTCTCTAAAAGAATATGACACTCTACAACGTGAAGGTTATGCTAATCCTAACTATGTGGAATCACCAGAGGTTAACATACCTACTTCAAGATAGTGTACAATACTACAACAACATCAAGCCAATATCCCACTATGTGGGGGTCGGCTAAATGATTCCTTTTTCTCCATTGTGTCCTGTTAAGGGTCAAATTCTCATCTAAATTTAATAAAGAAAGGTCATTTCTAATATTTTCTAACCAAGTCTTTTTTGGTCTACCTCTACATTTCTTAATATTAGTCAAATATAATACATCTACTTTCCTAATCGGGTTATCGGAAGGCCGTCGTTTTATGTGAGCAAACCATCTAAAGCGACTCTCTCTAATCTTATCTTCCACTGGAGCTACTCCAACCTCTTCACGTATATGCTCATTTCGTTATCCTGTCTTTAAGAGTAAAGTCACTCAACCACCCGAGCATCCTCATCTTTGCAACACTTAACTTAATATTATGCTTCTCATTTAATGGCCATCATTCCACACCATAAAGCATTGCAGGTCTCACTAACATCTTATAGAATTTTCTCCTAAGTTTGAGAGGGACTTTCTATCAAATAACAAGTCTGATGCACTCCTCCACTTCAATAATCCAACTTGAATTCTACTAATAATATCCCCATCTATTTGACCATCACTCTGAACAATATACCCTCTGAACAATATACCCAAGATATCTAAAACGTGTGCTCTTATTAATGACTTGATCGCCCACAATCCCACCACTAGATCTATTATAACTAAAATTACACTCCATATATTCAATTTTAGATCTACTCAAATAAAAGCCATTAGACTCTAAGGTTGACCTCCATAATTAAAGTTTACCTTCAACTCCCTTTCTAGTCTTATCAAGAAGAAGAATATCATCAACAAAAAGCATACACCAGGATACAACCTCTTGTAAATGTCTAGTGAGAACATCCATGAATAAAGCAAAAAGATATGGGCTTAAGGCTGATCCTTGATGTAATCCAACCAAAATAGGAAAATACTTGGTCAAACCACCTTGTGTTTGAACACAAGTAACAACTTTTGCATACATATCCTTACTGACTTGAATATAAGCATTATTAATCCCTTTCTAATGTAGAACTCTGCATAGCACTTCTCTTGGAACTTTATCATATGTTTTCTCTAAATCAATAAAAATCATATGTAGATCCTCCTTATTATCTCTATACTTCTCCATTAAACCTCTCAATAAATGTATAGCTTTCATAGTAGACCAACCTGTATAGAAACTTTAGTGTTACGCCGCAACCAATGTTCCATAACTCTCTCCCATAATTTTAAAGTATGACACATTAACTTAATTCCTCTATAATTCGCACAATCTTGTGCATCACATTTATTCTTAAAAATAGGAATCAACACACTCATTCTCCACTCATCCGACATCTTTTTAGTCTTTAAAATAATATTAAAAATTTTAGTAAGCAAAGAAATTCCTTCCTCTCTTAAGCATTTCCGCATCTCTATTGGAATATCATTAGGTACATTAGCTTTTCCACAATTCACTTTCTTCAAAGTTTCTTTAACTTCGATTTTACTAATACGCTGATAAAAACTAAAATCTTTATTTTTATTTAGGATGTTAAGGTCGCTAAAGTCAATTGCATTCTCATAATCTTCATTAAAAAGCTTAGCAAAATATCTCATCCACCTTTGTTGAATATCCTTTTTTTAATAAAAATACTTTTTTTATCATTATCCTTAATACACTTCACTTGAACTAAATCCTTACAACTCCTATCGCTTTGTTTAGATAACTTATACATATATTTTACCCTCCTTAGTATCTAATATATTATATAAATCATTAAAAGATAAAATCTTTGCATTGCAAATTGCTTTCTTAGACTCCTTACGGGCCTCTTTATATCTTCATTTATTATCAAAGTTTTTTATAGCTAAACCAAATTTTATAACAAATCTTCTTATTTTTTATCTTTTCTTATACATTTTGATTCCACCAGTAACTATTTTTATTATTAGTAGCTTTTCTCTTTGATACTCCAAATGCATCTTTTGTAATATTTTTAATATCACTAGCTACTTTTTACCACATAACATATTCTTAACTTCCTCATGCACATACAAAATCCTAAGATCTAAAATCTTACTCTCAAAAATATTTTTGTTAATATATTATTTAAATGCCCCATCTAATCCTAGAATAACGATTTACTTTATTTTTAATATTCTGCCCCTTCGGCTTGAAGTCCAAAACTAATAAATAATGTTGGGTACATAAACTTTCATTCAGAATAATTTTATAATCTTTGCAATCTAAATGATTTATTTTTCTTAAAAGAAAAAAAATCAGAGTTTTATTATATCCATTCTTATAAGTGATGAGATGCTCGTCTCTTTTCTTTAATAAGGTATTAGCAATTACAAAATCATAAGTTAAAGAAAAGTCTAATATGGTCTTACACTCTTACCACCTTCATTAGTCACTCCAAATTCATAACCATCATGAATGATTTTAAAACTACCAATACATACATTTAAATCTCTTCAAATAAAAACTATTTCTTTGAGAGGTATCTGATAGAACTGGATGCACTTTTCCCTGAAATCAGTGAACGACAATAAGAAATTAGGAAGAAAAACACACCAAAACCATTTTTATGAGAAGATATATAAAAGAAAATAGCAATATACAGTTGGATCTTCAATTTGAGAGGAAGATCCGGCTCTCCCAAATCCCTAGCTTCCAGCTAGAGCCCAAATAACCTACGAAATTCTAATTTCAGCAAACTCCAAACATAATCATAAAATCATCCTATTGTTAGCCTTAAATAGGCTTCCATAATTCCCTCCCAAATCAGCCCCCTTTTCCTAAATAATTATCTCTCAAATTTGATTTCAAATTAGATTTATTTCCTATTAATTCCCTCCCAACTATAATTAAAACTTTCCGAAATAATCCCCCTTAATTACTCCTCTTCCCTAAATAATTCTCTCTTAGATTTTGAATTTAAATTAGATCTCTTGCACTAAATAATTCATTTCCAATTGTAATTAAAACATTCCTAAATAATTCCCCTTTGATTAAGAACCTTCCTAAATAGTTCCCTCTTAATTAGGAAACTTCCTAATTCCCTCCAAATCAAATCGGTCGGTCTATCAATACTCCCCTCCCAAAGTGTCACCTTGTCCTCGAGGTGGAACGAATAAAAATATTGTTGAAGCACTGGACAAATAGCACTAGACTGAGAAATGAACTGTCACTAGATCGAGTGATTCCTGCCTCTGGCATCTCCTTGATCAATCTCTCCATCTTATCCTCCTGGAGTTGGTGAGAATGGTATACACAAACACTAATATGTGAGATTCCATCCTTCCAAAATATAGCATACTTGTGTTCCCACATATCGTGCTCTGATACCAATTTGATAGGAAGTGGATGCACTTTTCTCGAATCAACGAACGACAATAAGAAATTAGGAAGAAAAACACACCAAAACTATTTTTATTACAATATATATGAAAGAAAATAGCAAGATACAGTTGGATCTTCAATTCGAGAGGAAGATCCGACTCTCCCAAATCCCTAGCTTCCGGCTAGAGCCCAAATAACCTAAGAAATTCTAATTTCAGTAAACTCCAAACATAATCCTGAAATTATCCTATTGTTAGCCTTAAATAGGCTTCCATAATTCCCTACCAAATTAGTCCACTTTTCCTAAATAATTCTCTCTCAAATTTGAATTCAAATTAGATTTAATTCTCTAATTAACTCCCTCTTAATTATAATTAAAACTTTTCTAAATAATCCCCCTTAATTCCTCTTCCCTAAATAATTCCCTCTTAGATTTTGAATTCAAATTACATCTCATGCCCTAAATAATTCCTTCCCAATTATAATTAAAACATTCCTAAACAATTCCCCTTTGATTAAGAAGCTTCATAAATAGTTCCCTCTTAATTAGGAAACTTCCTAATTCACTCTCAATCAAATCGACCGGTCTATCAGTATCATTTATATTAATTCTTCTAGGTCATTTCAAAATTTTAATTTTGAACATATATCCAAACATACTTGAGGAGCATAAGCGCTTATAATATTAATAACCTTAGCATCAATAACAATCTTTAAAGCTAAAATTTTATCTCCAATTCTATTATTCTTTATAATATTATCTTTCAAACTCTTATCTATAATCACACATACAACATTTCTAGTACGACTCCAATCAGAATACCATAATTTAAATCCAAACTATCAATCTCCTTAGCCTTCTCTCCATCTCATTTAATTTCCTGAATGCAAAGAATATTTATCTTCCTATGGATCATAATATCTATTAATTACATTAATTTACCTGTAAGAGAATCTATATTCCAAGTTACTATCTTAATTTTAATTTTTTGTACTAGCTTCTTTGTCCACATTCGTTTATGATGTGGGAACCCTTGCCTATTTAACACTGCACCCAAGAACCGGTGCAGCATCCCTTGCTCACTTGTCGTTGTATTCAGGCCATACAACGTGTCACTTTCAAGGAACGCCCTAGCATTAACTAAAGATAATGTACAGTGCTAGGAGAAAATCTTGTAACATGAAGAAGCAATAAATAACCTGGGTCTCAATGTCAAGTGTAAAATCTAAACTCAGAGCAATCACTCAATATATTTTTGAACTCTTATGGATTAAGTTTATATTAGAAGATTTAAAGATCAACATAAAAGACCTACGAAGATATACTATGACAACAAATCTTTCATTAGCATTGCCCATAATCTAATACAACATGATCAAATCAAACATGTTGAGGTGAACATGAGTTTCGTAAAAAAAAAAATAAAAAGTGGGTTAATTTGTACTTCGCATATTCCAAATTTCCAATTGGTGGTCAACTTGCCAAAATATTTATTGAAGAACTTTGCAACCTTTCTTTCAACAATATCTTAAGAAAATGACTATGATAGATCTCTATCATTCAGTTTGATGGGGAGTATTGAAATTACGTAGAATCAACAGCTATGAGTTGCTAAATAAGGAATATAATGTGCCATGTATTGAACCCTAAATGGAAATTGGAAGGCAACAATGGGTAGATTGCTAGCATGCTTGAAACAAGAATTTTTATTAATTTTAAATTGTTGTGATTGCTTCTAAGAAATTGTATAGTTTGTTATTTTTTATGAGCAACTTTATGCACAAATATCCATTGGAGGAATAAACAAATAAAAATTTCAAACCACTTCTTTTTAAATAGAACTTATCTAAAGTATTTGCATTCATAATACTTTCTAGAAGCACTAACTTTTAAAAAATAAAAGAGATTGAGATATTCCTAATCATGCATCTTTACCTAAAGTACCAGAAAATCTAACTATGATGCACATAGTGAATGCTTAACAGATCTAGTATGTAATACTTACAGGTCAACTTCCAAGACGTTGAAAACATAAATCCAAGACCAATAAATGTGGTTGAAAGGTTACGTAGGGCCTCTGATAGATTGGTAGTAGCAGCATTTTTTAAGATTTGCGTATCTTCCGATAGCCTGCTTAAAAGTTCCCCTGTCCGAGTAACATCATAAAATGCTATCTCCTGGTGAAAAAATATTCAAAATTAGTACTAACCATGATTATGATATAATGTAATTATCTATGATATGAACTGAAACACCCAACTTACTTGATTTATAAGATGGCTGAACAAATTCTTTCTCAAACGAGCAACTACTCTTTCACTAGCAGAACTAAATAACCATGCTCGTATTGCAGCAAAGATTGACCTAAAATGGTACAGATAAGTTCTGCCAAGCTAGGCATAATATCTACTGAAAGGGAAAATTTTGCTTAGTTAAGAGAATGCAGTACTTTAGACCAGTCAGGTAACTTAATTTGCAAAAGCTTAAACTTCCTCTCTCTCCCTATATTCAACAAATTTAGATTGAATAAATAAGCAAGTGCTTATTTATCCTTCAAAACAAGGATGAAACAGATTTCTTAGGGGCTATTTGGTTGAAAGTAAAATGGGCGTAAAGTATTTCAAATGCAGGAGTATTGAAAATATTAATGTTAAATTGAATGACAAAGGAATGTAAAGTAAAATAAAGTATATGTAGTATAACCATTTTAGTTCATTTTTTAGGTAAACTAAACTCGCCTAGTTTTGAGCAAAAACTGTTTACACAGCAAACAAGAAAGCTCGCTTTACAGCCGCCACCCATCGTTGGCCACCACCGGCCATCACCGCTGACTACTGCCGCTAACTATTTCCACTATTGTTGCCGGCCACCACGACCACTGGTCACCGTCACCAAACTTCGAACACCACCACCGCCATTTGCCGCCGGCTGCCAACATCTTTGGACTTTACAATGCATTTATTTTACTTCAAAAAAAAAGCATTCACCTGCAATTACTTTACACTCATCCAAACAACTCCAAAGGGTTCTTTTTTTAGCCAACCAAATAGCCCCTTAATATGAAATATGCGAGTTGAAACAAGTTTAGCATTATGTCTTCCCACCTAAGATGATGCACATTATAATATAGTATGATTATATTTAATACAAGAAACTGATGAAAGAGAAAATAATTTCTCAAATTGAGGAAACACCATGGAAGATAACTACATAGACTAATTTGGAAAAAACAACTCCATCTTAGAGTTGACACTCTTAAAAGATAATGTGGCTCTCTCTTCTAGTAATAATAAATATTGAACTATCATGTTACAGCATTATTGGTTACTCTACCCAAATTTATTATAGGTTGAAAAATTTATTTCTCGCATTTTTCAATAAAATTTCAAAATCTTTCTACTATGAGAATTGTCAACTACCCAAATATGTTCGCAGTACCCACCCAAATCAATATTATAAACCATCTCACCTTTTTTATGAACATCAATTGCTTCATTAGTAGAAAGAAAAAAGCCATCAAATTTTCTATGGCTGGCATTGAATAAATACCAGCAAATATGAACATAATCTCGAGTATGATGCTCTTGACATAAGAAAAAATGCATACCCTCCAATAACTACCAATATGATCTCTAATATAGTGTTCTTGACGGCGTCTAATGCTTCCTCTCGTTGCTCAGGCTCGCTGATATCCTTTGAAACAATGTCAATAATCTTCCCACCATATTTCGGCTGCAAAAATGGGAGAAAAGTCCTTAAGACTTTATTTTTATACATCTAGTAGTAATCACAAGTTAACGAAGAACAGGCAAATTATAAACTCTGCACTACAGGTTTAAGCCCACTCCATAATATTCTTAACACTGCTAAATGAGGATGAGCTTAGAAAATAAAAGCTCAATTTCATCATCAATTAATAAAAAGGATCTTAATTGATTATTTAACTAGGGATCAAAACAACAAATCACTGCAGCCATAGACGCACTACAGCCCATAGAGTGGCATAGTGCATCTCTTGTGTTATTTGAATGACAAGACACAACAAAGCAAAATAGCATGCATTATCTGCCCTATGTGTGAGCTAAAACCCATAGTTCATATGACGGGTTATTTATTTTCCAAGTTAATATTTTATTTTTGGTTGATTATGAGGATGTTCAGGTGGATGAGTGGTTTTACCCTTAGAGATAGGATATGAAATGAGCATATACGTGAAAAGGTTGGAGTAGCGTGATAGGAAACACTTGAAGATTTCAAGTAGATCTTATCAATCTCGGGAAAATAGCGAGGAATATCCACAAATCCAACGAAAAATTAGAGAAAAACATGAATTTTATTGCAAGAATTAAATAGACGGAAGAAAATAACAAGATATAATTGATCATCTATTCGAGATGGGGACCTTTCTGTCCCAAATCTCTATACCCCACTAGAGCCCAAAAGAAACCTAAACCAAAGAGATCTCAAATTTAGCCCAACTTCAATATGAAACTGTAACCCTTATAAGATAAACTATTTAAAGCAAAGAATATTACAAAATCCCTAAACAGCCCCTAATTCAAATTTTCCCTCCCAAAACAATATTTATTGAGTTGTTCCCTCCCAAAGCAATATTAATTGAGTTGTTCCCTCCCAAAGCATTTATTAATTGAGTTGTTCCCTCCTAAAGCATTATTTAATTGAGTTGTTCCCTCCAAAAGTAATATTTAATTGAGTTGTCCCCTCCAAAGCAATATTTAATTAAATCCCCTAATTCAAATTGGACCGGTCTAACATAGCGCCAGTGGAAGATAAGATTATAGAGAGTCGTCTTAGATGGTTTGGTCAAATAAAACGGCGGACTTCCAATGACCCGGTTAGGAAAGTAGAGGTATTAGATTTGACTTATGTTAAGAAAGGTAGAGGTAGACCTAAAAAGACTTGGTTAGAAAATATTAGAAATGATCTTTCTTTCTTAAATTTAAACATAAATTTGACTTTTAAAAGGACACGATGGAGAAAAAGGATTCATGTGGCCGACCCCACGTAGTGGGACAAAGGCTTGATGTTATTGTTGTGTTTGTTTACATTACTTGTATGAAGAAGATAACTTTCTCGGAGTTCAGATATATCATAATGAGATTACTTTTTTATATGTGTTCTACAATATTTAAAGCAACATGGTAAATTTATAGAAAGCAGACATTTTTATCTTCCTTAATACATCATATTTAGCCTAAAATTTAATTATTGTTTTCTAATCTCGTGGACAGGGTTTATAAAATGGATAAATGATTATATTTGCTTTTCTAGATGATAAACAAAGCTATACCTAGTTATTAATGTTACATAGTGATCAAGTTCTAGTGAAATCTTTTCAACTGGGCTAGGCCCCGTGGTTTTTCCCCTTTTAAGGGTTTTCCACGTAAAAAATCTTGTGTTCTCTGTGTGTGAACTGGATATCCGTATAACGCTAAGACGAACAATTAAATCTCTATCGCCGCGTATATTCTAGTCCACAACAAATATCAATATGAATCATATGAAGAGGTATGTTTCAAGCTTCTTATGTTTAAACTTGAAAATATGTTTGATAATTTGTAATGCATTGACTTAATATTCATGCATTAAACACATAGTGAGGTAGGTATTCTTATGTTCAAACTTGAAAATATGTTTGATAATTTGTAATGCATTGACTTAATATTCATGCATTAAACACATAGTGAGGTAGGTATTAAGCTTCTTATGTGAAAACTTAAAAAAGAATTAGGTAGTTTCGCATTTAGTTGGTGTATATATAGAGAGAGAAAGAAAAGGACCAAAATGGTCCATCAACTCTTTATGAGATACCAAAATAGGCTGCAACCCTTTTGAGATACTAATTTCGTCCTTCAACTCCTTAAAAAGGAGACTTTTTGGTACTAACATCAAATTTTATGGTTAATGATGTTAAATCAAGGGGTATTTGGTCATTTTTTATTTAAATTATATATTAAATGTAATTTTTAAGTAATAGTATTTTTTTTATTAAACATTTTTTATTAAAACAATTATTAATAATTCTAGTTTATAATGATACTAAATTAAAACTAGAATTATTAATAATTTTTTTAAATTAAAACTAGAATCATTAATAAATTTTTTATTAAAGAAATGTTTAATAATTTAAAAAAAATACTATTACTTCAAAATTACATTTAATAAATAATTTAATTAAAAAATGGCCAAAATACCTCTCGATTTAACACCATTAGTCCCATAATTTAATGTTAGGAACAAATTGGGCCCCTTTTTAAGGAGTTGGGGGATCAAATTGGTTCCTCAAAAGAGTTGGGGACCATTTTGATCCCTCACAAAGAGTTTAGGGACCATTTTGGTCTTTTTCTCATTTAATTCTAATATTATCTGCCACTAGAGCAACTCCAACCTTTATATATATATATATATATATACTTGTTTCGCATTCTATCTCTGAGAGTGAAGCCACTGATCTATCTAAGCATCTTTATCTCTGCAACACTTCTCTTAATTATATGCTTGTCTTTTAATGATTAACATTTTGCACCATAAAGAATTGCAAGTCTCACCACAATCTTATAGAATTTTTCCTTAAATTTGAGCTGTATTTCTCTATCACACAATAGGTCTGAAGAATTCCTCCGCTTCAACCATCCAAATTGAATTATACAAATAATATCACTATTTATTTTACCATCACTTTGAACAATAAACCCAAGATATCTAAAACGTGTACTCTTATTAATGATTTGATCACCCAAAGTCAAAATCCCCCCACTAGATTTAATAATACTAAAATTACACTCCATGTATTCAGTTTTATATACTCAAACTAAAATCTTTAGATTATAAGGTTGACCTACATAGTTCAAGATTATCTTAAACTCCCTCTCTAGTCTTATCAATAAGGAAAATATCATCAACAAAAAGCATATACCATGGTACATCCTCTTGTAAATGTCTTGTAAGAACAACCATGACTAGAGCAAAAAGATATGGGCTTAAAAGCTGGTCCTTGATGTAATCCAACTAAAATAGGAAAATAATTGATAAAATCATCTTGTGTTTGAACACAAGTAGCAGCTCCTGCATATATATCATTATAAACATTATATCTTTTAAGAACTCACCAGAGCATTTCTCTTTGAATTTTGTCATATGTTTTCTCTAAGGGGCTGTTTGGTTGCCTGAATTAGGAGGGTAAAGTAAAACAAATATATGTATTTATTAAATTCTGTTGTTTGGTTAATTTTGAGTGGAACAAAAGAAAATTCTCGGAAGCATTAGGCGTGTATTACAGGAGCCCGATCCCGTGACTTCCAAAGCCGCTCAAAATGAGCGGGTTTGAAATTCTTCGCTGGAGAACCAGTGCCATCCCTCCTGCGAAGAGTGAAGTCGAACAGCCAAGAGGGAGCCGAAGTCGATTAGCAACAAAGGAAAGGAAGGAGCGATCCGTGATGTGCCATTCGCCCATCCCGGCCGCTCCGCCCACTCCTCTACTAGCCGTATGATTCGACAAATACTGCTGCACCCCCTCCGCCGCCGCCGTCGGACTGTTCTCCGCCCGCTCCGCCGCCACATCCCCCAAGTTACCCTCTCCCACATACAGTCGACAATACTCACCAGAGCATTTCTCTTTGGCATAGAAGGGAGAGTTTCATGTAGGGGCTGTTTGGTTGCCTGAATTTGGAGGGTAAAGTAAAACAAATACATGTATTTACAAAATTCGGCTGTTTGGTTAATTTTCAGTGGAACAAAAGAAAATTCTCGGAAGCATTAGGAGTGTATTATGAGAGGCCGATCCCGTGACTTTGGAAGCCGCTCAAAATGAGCGGGTTTGAAATTCTTCGCTCGTGCCATCCCTCCTGCGAAGAGCGAAGTCGAACAGCCAAGATGGAGCCGAAGTCGATTAGAAACAAAGGAAAGGAAGGAGCGATCCGTGTCGTGCCATCCGCCCATCCCGGCCGCTCCGCCCACTCCTCTACTAGCCGTATGATTCGACAAATACTGCTGCACCCCCTCCGCCGCCGCCGTCGGACTGTTCTCCGCCCGCTCCGCCGCCACATCCCCCAAGTTACCCTCTCCCACATACTGCTGCACCACCAACACCGACGTCGTCGCCACCCCCGCCCCGCAATCCAAAGACACGAACAAATCCCCGAAGGGGCCGAGCTCCGGGCACTCCGAACACTCCTCCATCCCTGTCGTCAACTTCGACTCCCCAATCCTTCTCCCCACCACACACAAATCAGGGCTCTCTCCTTCCATTAATCCTCTTATTACCTCCACCGTCTCCTCACTGTTACTCACAACCTTCTCCACATATACCACGCTCTCATCGTTCACAAACTTTACTCGGAACTCGCTTACATACTCTTCCTCCTGCTACAAATCTCAGCAAGGTGAGCGCGACGGCAGGGTGCTCGGCGATCCGCCAAGAGAAAAGCACCACCACGTGCCGTTGATATCAGGTTCCTAGGGTTATTCCTAGAACATGATTTGATTTTATGATTTTGTTTGAATGGATGAGGTTGTTGGATTACATGAATTAGTTTATTTCAGCTCTATTTCCGCTCCATTCTTGATTTTCTTTGATAGGGTTTTTCTTTTGTGATTTTGCTTTTGCTTTGAATAGTTCGGGTTTTGATTTCTGTTGTCTTATTCTGTTTATTGTTATTTCTGGCATTCATTCTCCTATGTACATTAAATGCTTCTAAAATTTGCTATTGCTTTTTCTTCTCTGTCGATTTGGTTTTAGTTTTTTTTTAAGCATGTTAATTGGGCGTTGCATTGTTGTAATGAGGCACATTTTTTATTTCTATCAAATTATTTTTTAAAAAATAATTTTTACTTTACTCTGGATCTACCTAACCAATCAAGGGAAACAGTTCTCCTGCGTTTATTTTGCAAACAACCAAACAGTCTCAACGTATTCGGAATGCAATACATTTACTTTACATTGCATTTACTTTAAACTGCATTTCTTTTTCAGGCAACCAAACAGCCCCTAAATCAATAAATATCATATGTAAAGAGAAGCAGAAAAAAGAAAAAATCACAAAAAGTTTATTTCCAACAGTTATCTAAAGTGGGTAATTTATAGAGTTTATTTAATCTTCCTTTATTATCTCTATAAATTTATTTTTCTCTCATCATTCCTCCTATATTATTTCTCTTATTTTAGAGACTTGAAAGTTTTTTTTTTTTCCATTGTTGAGGGACGGGATACTCAGGTTTTGGAAATGGTTGGTAAGTATCCCTTTATTGTACACCATGATTGTCATTTTTATTAGTGAATTAAATCCTCTATCATCTCTTGGTGACAGAGTCTTACCTAAGCCAAGCCACATGAATTTTATTTTCGCTTTTTGTAGAGCTTAATTTCTTTGCAAGTACTTTGTAGTTTATCATACTAATGCATTGATGCTTCGATATAATAAAGTTTGGAGTACTTCATTCCTAAAAATTGGTATCAAAGAGGATTTTTTGAGGAACACAATGACCTCGAAGTTTAAGATCAAGGTATTTGAGGGCTCAAAGTGTATGGTATTCTAGTCCAATTGTGATTTGTGAAGGCACTCATAAGACGTACTAAGATGGTAATTGCAAAATGCATGTAGTTCAAGGAAAAAAGTCGGTCCATATGATAAATAGCATTTCCAAGAAACTTTATCATAAGTAGAAACTTTACTTGCTTTGCATGCATGGCAATATACCTATTAAATTACATCTAACTGATTTTGTTTTCATTATTTAAGATTTGAAAAGTATTGTGTGATTATTGATGATAAAGATTAGTTTTTGCTGCTTTTGCACATTTTACCTGTTTACAGGCAATTTCAAGACATCATGTTTTATAGGGCATGATACTCTAAAGGATGTAAATAATTCACTTATTTCACATGAGGTGTTTGCTAAGCTAGAAGTAGATGATCAATCAACTAAATGTTATTGACATTTTCATGAGAAAAGGATCTGGGTGTAACTATTAATTAAGGACAATTACTTGCGTAATTCTTTTGTTGGGAAGAGTCAGGTATATGCCAGATTTGAGAATGATTCTAATATCCTTAAATACTCCCAGTGTTGTAAGACATAGGTTCTCTATTGTGCTGCAGAGTGCAACATTGAATGTTGATGCATTGGATTCGATAAATTTGATGAATTAACACAATTTGGGGAAGTAAAAGAAAATTAGCTTCCAGGCTACAAGAAATGGTACTAGAAAAAAAATGCACAAGTTGAGGGGGAAAATTCTGGGTATGATTAGGAGGATTGATTTTGCATTGCACAGCCTGTCCCAAAATCAAGTTGTACCATTGTAACACTCATGGAGAGATACAACTACTTCAGGGACACGTAATGGAAGTCACACAATCAAGTTAAATGTTACAATTTCAATGAGACATTTGTGCTACACAAGTCACTTACAGGCACTCAACTCAGGTGGCATTTAAGTTTGATGAGAATGAGACATTGCAATGCTAAGCCCCCCTTCAAGGCTATGGAAACTTAGAGTGCTTGACTTCAAAAGGAGAAACATAAAGGACATCCAGGTTTTATCACAATATTAAGTTAAGATAAAAGATTGCAATGTATTTACTCAATCATGCGATCACATAATGAGATAATTTTTAAGCTTCTTCTGTAAAAACTTGAAATGTGTCAAATATTAACTTAATATTTATGCATGAATCACATGGGGAGATAGCCATCCCACTTCTAATGTGAATGTTGAAATTGAGGAAGGTAGCTTTGCATTTGGTTGGTAGCCATGTATATAAACTAATTTATGCGGAATATGAAGTTAAGAAGAATTGAGAAGAGAGAGAATATGAAGTTCATTTTTGAGAGACTAAAATATCATCTCAACGAAATGATGGTACCCTTTTTGACTTATAGTGGGTAATTTTTTATATTTGTTTAATCATCTTTCTTAGTCATCTGTTTTTAAGTTAACTTTCTCTTCTCATCTCTAATAAATTATTTATCTTTTGTCTTATGAGACTTGTCTCTCTTTTTATTTGTTAAATGAGGTTGTACTTGGACTTAGAAAGGACTACTGAGAGTTCAATTATTGTATAAGATGATTGTCGTTTCTTTGTTCATGAACCAAATCCTCTCTTGTAAGTCCAACCAAATAAATTTTGATGTATGCTCTTTGTGAAGTTTAGTCACTGTTATAGTTACTTTGCAGTTCATCATATTTTTCCTAACAATTGATGCATTGATTAGGAATGTTGCAACCCTTAGGTTAAGCTTATTGTATATATTTTCTTCTTTTTCATATAATGAGGTAAATGCTCTTTTCCATGAAATACTTTCTTCATTGTTAAAATTGAGCAATGTGAGGCGCGCCTCAGCACAAGTTTAGCAAAAAATGCCTTGAGGCATATGCCTCAAGCTTTTTATGAGAAGTATACGCCTCAGTTTGGCAGAGGAATGCCTCGCCTCACTAACATGAGGCATACACCTCATCTTATTTATATTTTTTTAATTAACTTACATAAATACTAAATTGAAACCCCAAACAAATCACTCATTCAAGCACCCCAAGCCACAATAGCTTACTCTAGATTAAAACAACCTCCAGCTCGTCGCCTCCACCACCACATTTGCATACTAGTTTAACTTCGGAGGCATTGGACTCCGCAAGTAATAAGACAGAGAAGAGAGCAATTGGTTACAATGATGACCCAAATGAAGACCCCCTCAGTGATTACACTGTATATGACTTCTAAATTGTTGTCATACTATTTCATCTTTCTTTAGAAATTAAATGTGGATGAGTAGGGAACTGAGAAAGAATAAAGTTGGAGTTGGACTTCATATTGAATGATATTTTTATGCAATTACTATATTTAATTTTGTTTTGCTCTAGTGATGTTTGAATTTCAATTCTATTTCACGCAATTGTTAGTTGTCACTTTACGTCTTGTGCAATTTGTATTTCATAAGAATGTCAATTTATTACTCTATAGTTCAATAGAAAGTTAATATGTCATCCTTTAACATATTATTTGATTATTATACAAAGAAAATTACTTTTAACGTTTATTTTCATTTTACATACTTTTTGAATTTTGAGGCATACTCCTCGCCTTACAAACAAAAAACACATCAATACTCAATTGCGCAATTTTAATCCTTGACTTTCCTTATATCATTGCCAACTTCCCTGTCTTTTTTTTTTAAGTTAGATAAACTCTTCAACCTCTCAAATTTGACCAAAATAACTTGCCTCTTCTAATATAATCTTATTTACTCTTTGGCTTGAGGATATGAGTACCTAGGAAGCATCTTTAAAAGTGTAAATATATTTTAAAAAGATAAATAAACTATAAGAACCTTTTCAAGAATGAACAAGTATTATGCTTAAGTTGTAATTAATTATAATTACTAAAGGGTTTAATATTTATCCATATACACCCTTTTCCACCTTAAACACTATTCATGATTATCATGTTATCATTTGTCTGTCATATTTAAGTCACATAAATTCTTCAATCTCCCAAAGCTTTTACTCTCGCCAAAATAACTAGCCTCTTCTAGTATAAACTTATTTACTTTTTAGCTTATGGATAAGAGTACATAAGAAGCAACTTTAATAGTGTAAATATAATTAGATATGATATGTAAACTATGCATCCTTTTTAAGAATGAACACATATCATGCTCAAGTTGTAATTAATACTTAGTGCTAAAAGGATTGATATTTATCTATATACATTCCTTTCCCCTTTAAACTCTATTCATTGTTTATCCTTTTATCACTTATCTATCATTAGTTATTAAACTAAACACTCGAATGCATAAACTAAGGGATTACAGATTTAAGTTGTGGATCAAATATATTTGACAAAAGATTGACGTGATTCTAATTATCAATTAATTTATTTTGGTAAGGAATTGATACTTAGTCATGTACAAATCAAATTGATTGGCATTATTACACGATCTTATTGCTTAACCTTTCTATTCTCACAACTCAATAGCCTTCACATGAACTATACTATACATGTCATAAAATCCTATGATATCATTATTAATTTATATGATACTCAAAAATTTACACAAGCCTTAATGTACGTATTAATATGTTAAACCATATTATATGACATGGATAATGCCTTTTTTGTGTTTGGATATTTTTCTTTTATATTTTAACTTTTTTTATAAACTCTTCATGATTTTTAAAAGTTTTGCGCTATTGTTAAAAAAGAATGCATCATGCTATGCATTATGACTCGACTGGAACTTTGCACTATGGTGTACTATTTTTTATTAACAAATATGTGATATACAAGATGGAAAATGGTGATCAATGCATATTTAGCTAGAAATGAATCTCAAAAAAAGAAGAAGAAATGGAGCTCAATGTATAGGAATACATACAATCAAAATATTGGTTGTAGATGCAATCAACAATGCTATAGTGGCAATAATTAGCTTCCCTGCATCTGGTTTTGCCTGCATACATATGATAGGTCAATATTTTAAATATATGCAGGGAAATAGTCAAAAATGCCATCCACTTACCAACCTTAGAACTCTAGAAAACCCAATATTTGCTGGCTGAAATAAAATATGTAACAGAAAGAATATCAGTTAAATCACCCAAGCTCTACAGCTGAGACAATTTGAAAAACACAAGGGATGATTGAGAACAGCAGAAAACATCATCACCTGAACTGCATCGCCATGCTCAAGGTCAGACACAAGGTGGCTTGATGATTCCTAATAATGAAAAATGTCATTAGCTATCACTTTAAAATATGAATCCATTTCTTGCTTTACAGATAATCATAGCATAGCCTTCCCAAAACAATTCTAAACACAAAGGAAAATAAAGAAAGCCAAAGTCTTCATAACCAAACCAAAAATATGACTCAAGTTGTGAATCTAATTTAATTTAGATATAAATGAATAGCTCAGCAACTCACACACAAAAATAACCCTGCTCAGGCACCACCACCAGTTAAACATTGTCAAAGCTTAGGAGGAAAAGGATTACTATAAAAAATCATACAAAGCCAAGTAAATAATGAGCTCAAAAATTTTTGGGTTAGGATACAACAAATTTGGCCAGGATTGGACTTGAGGCGTTAGATTTGCTTTGAAATGAGTGTCGTACATGTGAATCAATCAAAATTTATCTTACAATCAACTAAAAGCAAATCCAACAGTTTTGAAATTCATCCTTACAATCATCTCAAAGTAAACTTTTGTCATAATATCCTAAGCCAATTTTTTCTTTACGCGGACTTCTTTTCATAGTGTAAACCACTAAACCTTAAACCTAATTCAACCACATAATACTACTTATGACCGTTCAACAAGCAAACAATTCTTTGAACTTTGAATAGAAGTATCAAAAAGGATTTTTTATGAAATTAATCAATTACCCACTACATGAGTAGTCACAAAAGAATAACATAGGAAACAATTCCCAACCCAATTATTTCATCCTTCAATCTGAAACATAATTTCACGTGAATCAAATACAGCGAACATCCAAAACTGAAAAAAAAAATAAAAAAAATAAAAAAAAAAAACACAATGATTCAAGATTCAAATAAAATAGGGTTTAGGATTGAATCACAAAAGACAGTACAACACGAAAAAATTAAAATAAGAAAATGCTTTGACAGGGCCGCTCACAAAAATACAGCTCAAGTCGAAATACTTTCTTCAAAAAGATCTCACCTGAAACCAACCCCAGAAGAAACTTACCTGCTTACAGTGCTCTTGATCTTTAGCTATTCAACAGCCAGACAATTCATTGAAGTTCGAATAAAACTACGACAAAAGGAAGTCCCGTAAAATTAAGCAACTAAACAACAAAGGAAAGTTATTAATCTCATCTTGAACACTGCAACACCCACAACAATTCAAGAATCAGACAAAATCCAACAAAATGTAAGATCAAACCAGACCCTACAGCAATACGACTAAAAAAACAAAAGAAAAACAGCACACTTATCAAATTTGAAGAAAAATAAAAACCATTACATTTCCTAGTAAAGATCGCACCTTAAACCATAAACCATACTCACTTCGCCGTTCAAGAGAGGTATCGTGTTGCTTGGAGCGCTCTTGATCCTTAGCTTCCCCATCGATTATCGTGAATTTCCTTCAAACAATCTTCCTGAAAAAAAAAATTACTATCGTTGAATTGGGCTGATCGATACATGATTTATGTTAAATCCCGCCAAACGGAATTTGAGGACATTTTAAATCTCACGCCAAAATCCTCCGTTTCCCTTTTTTTTTCCCGTAAATCCCGGATTTACTGAATCCCTGAGTTAGGCGGATTTACAGGATTTGGCAGAAGAAGCGCGCGAAAGGGAGAAAAGATGTTTACCTTCTCAGGGAGCGAGCTCCCGTCGTTGCTTCCGATCCAACAGGAAGAACGTCGTTGGGAACTTCGTCGAAATAGGCGAAAGAAATTTTTAGCGACTCGTTCTAAACTCCACCTCAAGCGAAGCAGGCAAAGCCGAACAGCAAGGAAAAGAGCAAAAGCAAACCAAGTCGAAAAGCAACGGGTCGTTCCGATTAAAAAAAAAAACTGTAATACAGGAGAAATTATTCTGTACATAATTCGAGCGCATTTGAATGTTGCGTATTTATGTTTATTGTGTTGCATATTTTTTTATATCAAATTTTTTTATGTTAAAAAGCAACACATAAATAATACTCATTAAATACACAATTAATATGCAAAAAATATGTAGAAAACAAATGTATCAAAAAATACGCAGTAAAATAAGCAGTAAATACACAGCATCCGAACCCAATTCTGTGTTCGGACTACGTACAGAATAATTTCTCGTAATACAGTCAGGCAAACAACTGAGGAACTATTATTACATCCTCTGACCGGACGTAGCTTTACGTTCGGTCAGAAGATTGTTACTCGATTTTTGCTCGGTATTTGGTCGGTATTGATAAGTATTATTTGGTAATAATGAGGAATACTATTCTGTGAAGATCAATGCCGAATAATACTGAGCAATACTGAGTTTTCCCAAAAAATATCGAGTTTTTCTAGAAAAAACTCAGTATTTTTTGGGATTACTCGGTATTTTGTCTTCACATAATGGTATTTCTCGTTATTGTTGGTATTGCTCAGTATTTGCTCGATATTTCTCGTTTTGTGCCTGCGATCTTAGTGCTAACCGAACGTAGCTCTACGTGCGTTCACCGAACCAAATAAAAGTTCAACAACTGAGGCTTTGTTTGGGCGATTTTTTTATTGTTTTTAATTTTTGTTTTTAATTTTTTATTAAAATCTTATTTTAATAAGTAATAAAAAAATCATTTTAAACTAAGTCTAAAGCATCATTATGTTGGATTGTTTCTTATCTAAAATGGAATTTTAAAAACAGACGTTGAAAGAAAAGAATTTAAAAAACTATTGTTCTAATAATGAGTTTTGTTTGAATCACATTATTTTTAAGTACTTCCTAAAACGTACAAAATAGATAAAAATTATTTATATAAGCATTCAGCTTTCACTCTTTTTTAAGAAAATACCTAATTACCCATTCCTAAAATTTAAGTACATTTAATTAAATTTTTTTATTAAGTCAAAATACTTCCAATCGATGGTCCTACAAAAGTACATTATTAAATATTTACACAAAGCAATATAATGATATTTCTTATTTATTGATTATATAAATAAGCTGCCATTCCATTGACAAATCGCAACTGGCCATCAAACATCCATGCAAGCTTTACCAAGGATTGTTTGGTAGTGCCGGCTAAAATTATGAAAAATATAATTTTCAAGTCATTATGACATATATTTCTTTTAATATTTCATCTGTTCGAATAATTTAAAATAAAAAAAATTAACTATTATTTTATTAAATACTTTTTTTCTTTTACATATAGAAATGCATACAAACATTATATACAACCACAAAATAGAAGTGGAACAGTTCTTCAAATAGACACCTAGATCCTGAAAGAGGCTGCTACTTCAAAATCAAGTGATTCTTGTCAACAAATTCAAGAAACAAATTACTCCAAAGTACAAACACTTAAAATTTCACAAATTGATTACATGATATATCACCAAGTTCTAAAGCATCTCAGGGTCCTATCAAAGAAATTAGACAATTACAGAATTCCCAGTAGATTCAATAGCTTTTATGTTCCAGGAACAATAGTTGAAAAAAATAGTAAATCTATATTTTCATTTCACTAATTTCTTTTCTCTTTAAAACACAGATAAATCAAATACATTTTCTAACAAACACCAAACAAAAATAGAACTAGATAACATCAACTAGGGGCTGTTTGGTTGCCTGAAAAAGAAATGCAGTGTAAAGTAAATTTAATGTAAAGTAAATGTATTGTATTCTGAATACTTTGAGACTGTTTGGTTGTCTGCAAAATAAACGCTGTAGAATTGTTTCTCTTGTTTGGTTAGGTATATCCAGAGTAAAGTAAAAGTGGTGTATTTGTAATAATTTATTTTGACATTACAAGTAGTGTATTTATAAAAGCATATTTATAATAATTAGTATTATTTGATATTATAAAATAAAATCAGTGTATTTATTTCTTGCACTATCTTATTATAAATTTTTTTTTAGATTACAAGCTATATCAAAGATATAAAATTCTATATCAATATTAAACATAAAATTTGTATAAATAAAAATGATTTTATAATTGTCTTATAGTTGAATTAAGATAAATTGAAATCAAATATTATATATATATAGCAATCAATGATTATCTAGAGTGGTAAATGTTGGAGATGTATCAATTTATCTGCAAAGTATGTATTATGTTGTTTTCTCCTTAAAATAGCTGATTGAACGGACCTATGAGCAGGATCTAAATTGGAAAATACCATGCAGGGAGGAAGAGTTCTTATACCAAGAACCATTGCACTACCCTTAATATTAATTTGACCATAACATAACGAAAATGAGTAACTAATTGCAACTTTTTTAACAAGTTGATAAAATATACTTTACTGGCCATGACCTAGACCAATCATGCCATCAGCTTGTTGATTGAACAAATAATCAGATTCAGAATTTTCACATAAAAAAATGGCTCGTTGTGCCATAAGTTCAATTTGTTTAACGAATCATATGACTTGTTGAGAAAGAAGCCCACAGCTGCAGCTAATTTCAGCATAATGCCTCTCATAAGTACAATGCCTTTTCTTCTTATCACAATTGCAATCAATATTGCATTTAACTAGCTCATATGTGCTTGAATGCTCAAGCCTAAATCTTCGATACTGCTAAATCAAATTGTAATTATTGTTGTTGTATATTTCCTTTGACTTTCTCCCTACCATTGGAAGTAGGGAAGAAAATATACATTCAATATTCTCATTTGTATAAAAAACATCAATATTTATAAGACTTAAAAAATTATGATTCTTTATCTACATGACATGCTTATATATTTATCAATACAACAATTAACTAAAAAATCAAGACCAACATATAGCTGTATAAAATTACAAAATCACACTTATAAAGCCTCTAATAAACCTTATGTCAAATCTGCTATATCATTTATTCACAATTGATAAGAGTATGAACTTAAAACAATGACACAACTTGAACATTAAAAATTTATTCTATAGGAGCATCAGCTGATAAGAGGATGAGTAGGAAACATATCAACATAACTAAAACTTCATTAATATAGAAGTAAACAATTCAAACAAAAACGAGATGAATTCAATTCCATAAATTTTTATTTGATTCATAAACTTACCAATTAATATAGAAAGTACCCAGGAAAAGCATTTGATGTTAAATCATTTATTTTAATCATAGTTACATGACAACCCTTAAGTCCAATATTCTCAAGCAGCCTCTTTGAGACAGTAATATCATCACAGCTAGAATTACATAACAAAGATAACCATGATGAACTCATAGGAGATCATGATCTCCAAACAAATGCAATTTAGAAAAATAAAGCACACCTTCCATTAAAAAAAAAAAAACTAGTTCAAGAATGCCAAAACGATCAATAAACTCATAAAAAGTACCCCTTGTAGGATAACCAGCACAGCTTATCCTAATAGCTTCTATCACCCCTATATATAAGTATATAAGAATGTCTTGAATGGATGTGGGATGATGCTATATTGCATATAATTCAAAACATAAAATAACTTACACCACATCTGAACTGCTAGAGCACATTGTGATTCTAAAAAATTGCTGGCTTAAGAAGATTATCAGGCTTAACACACCATATGTAACGGTCAAGGCTCAAACCGTTACACATCACTGACTCAGCAACAACCACTACTTCTGCCATCTGACATATGAAGCCGAAATGCTCATGAGCAGGAAACTACCAGCACTATCTCAGCCATTCAGATATATTCTGTATCAACGGCTTGATCATACTTTGCATTACTACATCTACTATATATAAACAGGACTACTGTTTCATTGAAGAGAAAAAGAAGATATCATAGCTGCTATTCTCTGTGTCTTACTGTCTTCTTCATCTTCCTATGTTTATTTTCTCTTAAAGCTTTTGTTGCAGGTTTATGGTATCTTAACAGTAGTGAGGTTCGGTTGAACTCAAAGTTTGAAGCAGATCTTGCAATTGTTGTTGTATGGCTAAAAAACTAATCAAAATGCTATGTCAAGCCAAAGATGATAAAAATAGAGTTTTCTTGTGATACCTAGTAAGCCAAAGATGTAAAAATAGAGATCTTTTTAAAAAAATAAAAAGGCAAGTATGAAATCCAACAAAGTTCCATCCTAGAAAGATGAAATATAGAAATATTCCCTGGCAGAAAAATGAATTGAAGACTTCAAAATTCAATTATGTGAAAATTTTAAGCAGAGAGATGAAGTCAATAAGAGGGTTTTCAATAGAGCAGTGGGGAGGCAGAATGAGATCAACCTTCTGGAGTAAGATGGAGCATTGACCCTCACGCTCTTACGGGATTTATGGGATTTGGCCGAAGAATCGTGCAAATGGGAGAAAAATAGTTACCTTCACAGCGAGCGAGCTCACGTCGTTGCTTCCAATCAAAATGTCGTGACTTCAGATCCGACAAGAAAGGAACATCGTCGAAGGAGCAGAATAAGTGACTCGAAGTCGAACAGCAACAATGGAGCTCAAGAAGCAACGACGGATCGAAACGAAGAAGCATCCTGCCTCTCCGCTGTTCAGTTGAAAACCCTCACGCTCTACAAACTTCTCATTATTTCACGCGAGAGGATCCTAACCCCCTCAATTTGAGCGGGTTTCGAAGTCGCCCGAATGGGCTATCAAAATACACTGATAATGCTCTGAAAGAATTACTTATATTCTGCTCAAAACAAACCAAACATTCTAATTTTTAAAATGCAAGTAAATAGATTACTTTACCCTCCTAATTCGACATACCAAACAGCCCCTAAATAATTTCATTAGCACAGTATTTCAAAATTAAAAAAAATGTGATTCAAAATACATAGGAGTCGATTAATCCCTTCATTCTTGCAGATGTAAATATGTTGAGACTCTGGATCTTCAAGAACATAATCTCCATGTAAGCTATCTTTTGTAACTTGTTCAGGCTCCATTACTGATCTCACTGAACTAATACTGCCTACAACACTTTCAAAGCCTGCCATGCCTATACAAATTAAAAAAAAAAAAATTACAAAGATGGATTTATAAAATGAATTAAAAAGTATGATATGTGAAATGCTTCCCTGATCAAGCATTGTATGTGTCATTACTTATTTGAGTTCAACCATGAATTGAAAAACAACAACTATAGCATTTTAATGAGGTGATGGTAATATTATACATGCATTGACCCGTAATTAGCTTTATTGCAATAACCAAAGGTCAAATTCTAACCTGGGTTCAGAGTTAAAGTAGGAGGTTCGACATTAGCACTAAGTAGCAAATAGCAAGCAGCTAAAAATAAAATCCCAATCATTCTTAAATAAAATATCCTAATACAAAACTTAATGCACGGTTATACTACAACAATTAAGGTTTTGTAAATTGGAAAGAGTAATCATTTACTTGCCAAATAAATTCATACATTAAAATCAATATTGTTGTGGATGCATGTGGCCTCGTATAAAATGAAACATAAATTCATTTAAAATAAAAAAATTTGCATATTCATATTACATGTTATAATCGCATAATTCAAATGCAATTCTACTTCAGTTTCAACATAAAATCATTCTCTTAGTTCAACCATTTCGTGCACTCCTTCAACATCACTAAAGTCTACTTCAGCTTCTAAGGTAGTACTTTCTTCAACTTGCTCTCCTATTCTATATTGATATGCTTCCGGATGAACAAAATTTTCTTTAACGTCACATTCTTCAAATTCTGGATCATTTCGCGAAACATGTCGCTGAATATGGTTATGTAGTGTCATTGTACCCTTAATAATAAGACGTTGCTTGTTAAAGGAATATTTAGGCATATCTCCTAAAATTCCCCATTTATTTTTCCATACACCAAACACAAGTTCAATAACACTTCATAGTGAGGAATGTCAACTATTAAATACCTCATGATGTCCCTTTAATGGTCTACATCCTCTTCTAAAATCAGGTATGTCATATCTTGTTCCCATATATGGCTTCAAAAATCCCCATTGCAGAGGATAACCATTATCAACTAAGTAGAACTTTCATGTTAACAAATTTGCTAATCAATATACAATATCCAAATATAAATGTATATAATAACTTGCTTATTTAATTATAAATACATTGAGGTGGTGTAGGAAAATTAGATTTTAGATCTATCACAGTATGTTGAAATTTATGTGCATCATGAGCTGAACCCTCCCAACTAGGTGCAATAAACATGAAACACATGCCAAAATAACATGCAACCATTACATTTTGTGTAGGTGAATAATGTCGTCACAATATGTATCAAATCAGCAGGGATGCGTGCATTGACGTGTGTGCCATCAATAACACCTATGCAATCTTTAAAATATGGCATGTATTGTGCGTCATTCAGAATTTGTGCTAGAATATCATGGAAAAACTTAACGAAAAGTGCAATAATCTCCATTCCTAAACGAACTAACACTTGCAGACCATTATAAAATAATATACTAATCATCTTTGTAGAGTGCTGTAAATATTCACATGTTAATTTAATACTCTCATTATGTCCCAAAATGCACAAAATTATTGCAAGTACCTTTCTACTAGTAGTTCTGTGAGATCCATGTAACCCATATGATGATTCCAACAAAGAAAGTATGCCCACAAAAATAACTTGTGACATTCTGAAATTGTTATGAAATCTAGTTGGATGGCCATGTAATAACTCACACACCCACTTATCCCCACTTTGAGATGATGTCATGCAAGGACTCTTACAAATATATAATACATAGTAATCATGAATTGCACATGTTGTTGTAAGTAATATATGAGTAAATTCTGCCACACCCTTATGCTCATTATCTTTTGACATATAATCATCAACTTTGTCTTCCCCAAAGATTAACGAAGCTTCTGACATGTTTCATCTGAAAGAGTACATATGTTACATATTAACAAAGGATATATATGAGCTTACCTAAAATAGTACATATGTTAAATTGCTAGAGCAATAATATTAGAAACACTAAAAATTATCATCTACAGGGTGTGATAACACATTGCATGCAACAAAATTGCTAGGTCACATGTTCCACAATGCTTCTGTGGTTTAATCATGTGTTATTTAAATAAGAAGCAACAACAGGCTCAAGAAATATAGAACATCAAACGAAATTATTCATGTAGGCAAGCATAATCATTAATAGCAAATCATGATATCAAAGAGATGACAAAGTTTCAATTATTATTATTTTAATACATGCCTTTTTTAAAGTAATCAAAAAAGAAAAAATTAAAGCAACCACATTAATTAACAATAATGTAGTTTTCAGAAAGAAGTTATATTACTCAAGAATCTCATCAAATCTCGCATGAATCTCATCAAAGTAAGCAGGAACCTATTCAACGAGTTCAGATCACCAAACCCATTTAACATACATTTTACTCAGCATTTAAAGTGTCAACAATTACTTGATATTTCAATGAATTTAGACTTTTAGTTTTGCATCAGCGCCTCATATCAGACCACCCTGACAAATAGGTATTGATTTGATTTTAGCAAAATAGTTTACTTAATAAAGAAATCTCTAGCAAATGCTGGTTATTCCAACTTTGCAGTTTTTTTTTTTTTTTTTTTTCTAACTTATGTTAAGTTTGTTACCCATATTCAAGGCATTGAGCAACTTCGATATGGGATGGTTTGAAAGCTAGCAGGTGGATCTGAAGGCAATTATTACAAGTATATCTTTAGTCTAGTTGTTGTAACTATATATTTACAACATATGTGAGGAGCAGATGATGAATTAATGGTTATGTTATAGGATAAATTAAGATTGTTATGTAACAACTTTACATACTTTTATAAGGATACATGCAGATACATGTTGCAATTATATCGTATACCAGTATAATAAACAAGGTTTAACCAAGCAGAAATTTCAACCCAAGAAATACTATAGGCAACGTCGAGCCAACGAAAAACCTCCTAAAAAATCACCTTCAGATTTAAAGTCTCACCAAATTCAATCAAGAATCTAATACCAGTATAATAAACACAACCAGCAAAATCAATAGCTGATTCAATCCAATGGAGATCCTCCGTCAGGATAAGCTCTGCCAAAACTGACCTCAAATCGGTCGCCTTCGCAAAATCAACAGGCCAAAGGAGAACCTCTGCCTGACAAATCTCTCCGCATAAATCACCTTCTCCGCAAAAATCCCACCAAGGAATTTCGTCTGTCATACCAGGCCGACGGAGAACCACCGATTGCCAAGATCCGGCAAAATCGCCAAGATCGCCTCGTCTCCCAAAAACAACCTCGAGAATTTCTTATTGATTGGATGGTAAAGATAGCAAAAATTATGAATGCGGAAATAGGCAAAGGTTATATTAATGATTCTATTTTTCATAGAACAATAGAAGTCATGAAGGATTCATACATAAGCAATCTTCAATCAACCTTGCATTGCCAACTATGATTAATAAACTTCATTACACAAATAATTGCCATGATTTAAAAAAAATATATACTTCAAAATATTATAGTAATATAAATCTACCTTTAGGACAACATAATATAACATAGAATTGTAACACCCAACACAATAATAACAATTCATTTACAACCTCCTGAAGTACATGAACAATTTGGAAAGCAATTGAACATAATTATATCCAAAAGAGTGATAACAAACAAGTTTCAAGCTAAACAAACACAATGTACATATATAAGTTATACAATAAACTAGACACATGAACATCAAGTACAAGAACATAAAATCTACTTCGATGGGTTACTAACATAAATTTCTATCAAATCTCCTTCAAAGCCACCATAATCTTCTTTCAATAAGCATTCCCATGAATATCTCCTTGTTATTCTTATCTTTAAAGTATTTTGTGGCAAAGTCATATAACTTAAAATCATCAAAGAGATTAGGAATTTAGAGATCTCTTCTAAAACCTTTAGGATATAAAATGATTAACGTTGGTCATTTGATGTACTTATGGCAGAACTTATAGATTTTATAGCCTCAACGAGATCCACAACATGATTTATAAAAAGTTGTCTAGTCCCCGACTTAGGAGTTCTAATTCTTTTTCTTCTACGCAACAATGTGACACTTTATTGTGATCTTTGTGAATCATAGTTTCTTGTAGGATCATTTATAGTCACTTGTCAAAGATGTGTTTGCTCATCTTGAGTGTACTCTATCTCATATGAGTTTGTGTTATCATCATTTAGTTCTACAAGATGTACACCCAAACTAGGAAGCTAAACATTCTCTCCAGTTGCAACAATACGACTGAACATAAGATCTAACTTTTCTTCCAACTCTAGTGGTATTCCATTGTATTGAAACTTCTTCACATCTGGCATAACCTAAAGTACAATAAATGATTAATTAGGAATCATGTGGTTTGATACATAAGAGTAATTTTGAATTTAGATTATAAAGTGAATGGTTCCAAATTTGTGAGGTACCTGCACCTTTTTGTTCCACCAATCATTAGAAGCATCAACTATTTTTTTTTTTATTGGATTCCAACCAATTCCAATTTCACCTTGCAACAAATCTTTCTATAGCTTCTAGTCCTTCTTTAATTGGCCCCACTTATTTTTTAAGTTGAGTTTGGTCAAAAGTTCTTCCAGTCATTCATTGAGATATTTAAGTAGGTTTTTACAGCCTTCTTTAGTAAA